TGTTACTACTAGTAAGGCACTTGTTACTGGTAGCGATGCACTTGTTCCTAGTAGCTTCTTGTTTCTAATTGCTTCTTGTTACTACTAGTAAGGCACTTGTTACTAGTAGCGATGCCAGGAGCCCCTAGTAGCGTCCTTGCTAGTAGTAAGGCCAGGAGCCCCTGGTAGCGAACATTGCTACTAGATGCTACTTGTCTGGACGTCCACATCGACGCGGACCGATGCGAGTAGTAAGGGATAGTACGGGGTATGTTGTAGCTATTAAGTGGGCCGCCACTAGGCTTGGATGCAGAGCCCTTAATTGATAGTTCCTAGATGTTTGGAACTTAACCTTCACTGCTACGGAATTGACAGACGTCCCGACCCAGGGCGACCCCTTCTCTTCACGGTGCGAAGGTGGACCGAAGCACGGTGCGAGATGCGATTCACTGGACACGGCCAAGACAAGACATGGGGACCAGGTGTCTGGGTTGCCACTCTTACGTCGGTCAAACTCTTCAAAGACTGCCCAGGGACTAGGGAAGATTAAAGGAGGGAAGAAGCCATGCTTTCAGAGAATCCGTGAGCAATGCACTTGTTCCTAGTAGCTTCTTGTTTCTAATTGCTTCTTCTTCTTACTAGTAAGGCACTTGTTACTGGTAGCGATGCACTTGTTCCTAGTAGCTTCTTGTTTCTAATTGCTGAAGCCATGCTTTCAGAGAATCCGTGAGCGCAATGCGTGTCGCCTGCCGCTTCAACCAGTTGAAGTCTTGCACTTCGCTCCACGCACCGCCCTCGCACATTGAAGGCAGCTCTGTCAAGGCTCTGAAGTCGTTCGAAGTCACAAGGATGCCTCTTGCCTCCGCTGTTTCACCCAAGGATGCCTCTTGCAAGAGTCTTGCTCCTGAGCGACCAAGTCTTCAGTGTGCTCTACAAGTACATCCCTTGTCTGAGGGAAACCAAGTCTTCACCGCCTTCTGGGCAGTGAAGGTCAATAGGGGCAAAGGCCACCCGCTGACAGTGCTCGATAATGGGCCCAGACCTGCGCTTCGGGACTTTGGCTTGGTGGAACTGATAGCCCATGTGCTATGGGTTGCTGCACACAACATGACATGTGCACGATTGTGCCCGTAAGTTTCATCAGATTCCATCAGCCAGTCGCTGTGTGGACTTGTCTTCAGACTCACTGCCGGCAAGTAGCAGGGTGTGCAAATGTAAAGCCACAGTTTGAGAGTCGTGAAGTCGCAGTTGTTTCACCTGAAGGGGCATGCAAGAGACATGCCCGAGGTCACCAGTCCAGTCGTTGGTCCGAGTCCATCCTTCGCTTCAAACGACCAAAGCCTCTTCGCTTCTCAAAGCCCCCGACCGCAAGCGTAAAAATGCAGTTCTCACAGTGGTGCAACATGGCAGAAGAAGAAACCTCGGCTTCTTAGCGAAACGGCACATCTTTCGTAAATGCATTTCGATTCATCTGTTTCGAAAGCAACTGAATGAAAAGAACAACATCTCTTGATAGACTTTGGACATCATGGGATTGGCTTTAGGATCTCCGATCACTACAAACAATTACAAACACATTTGTCAGGCCAGGATTCAGCTGCGACCACGACTTCGCACTGCTTCAGATGGTGCACGTGCAAGGCTCCAATTCTCAGTCGAACTGACAAAGTGCGTTTGACGCAAAACGCTACTCAGCTGTTCGACTTACATCATTATCTTCCTGTGTGGAAGCGACACAGGTGAGAAGCTGAACACGTCGTTTCTTTCGTCTTCCGACGGGTCGGAACTTCAAACCTCCTCCCAGGTGCCGATCCAAGAAGACCACCCGGCAGCCACGCAAATGGCTTAGCCACACATCCCTTCCCTGCGAACACGGTTTCCGAAGGAGGAAACATGTGGCAACGCAATGGTTGTAAAAGGGGTGTGAGGAAGACAAGAGGACACATATAAGAAACAAGGATCCACCAGCAAGATCATGAGAACGTGAACTTCTTTGCAATGTGTGATTAATCACTGTTTCAAACAAGCAAGGAGCCGTTGGTGGTTTGCTTCACAGAAGGCATCTCCATATACCTTCATTGGAAACGCCTGCAAGTCTCCCGGCTTCCGGATGATGAGCTCATTTTCCAGGTCATCCAATCGCTCGCCGTGGAATGCAGCATTTGGGTCTTTTGGCAGGTCTGGAAGAAATACATGGAAACAAGGATGGTATGAAAAACAGCAGGACACTCGGCCACACAGCTTCAATGGTTTAGGCTAAACTGCTTTTTCGAATTGCTCTCCCCTAATTGTTCCTGCATTTGCTGATGCTTCACCAACGCCTGAACTTGTCGAAGTTGTGTAGCCCTTACTCTCGCCTCAACACGAAGTCGAAGGCTTTGGAAGGCTTAAAGGGCTCGAAGTCAAACAGAGCCAAACAAAAAGGCTTTTGGGCGTTCACTTAGTTCACTTTCGCTAAGTCCTGGTCCTGGCGGATTTCGCCGCTTGAAGCTGAACCTCAAGAGAAGGTTTTGCCACGACGCAACATCAGGAAATTCCTCCAACTGAAAAGGCCTTTACTTTCACAAATACGCACCGTGTGTAAAACTACACACCGACATGCGAAGCACATGCAGAGCACTACAGACCCTTCCAAGCTGCCAACTTCTTTCTGGGAGCTAGCTGCTCTCGACGTGTGGCCAAGTCCGATGTCAATCCCTCGGCAAAGTCCAGTGCTCAAGCCGTAATGCAACTAGCCATATTAGCATGTTGTATCAGGTTGAAGTGTCTACATGAATGCCCTCGCTCTTAGGTTGGAGGCCATTGCTATTAGGTTCCTTTTGCTAGGTTGGAGAGCAACCTGACAGAATGGACGTAGAAAGTGCCGCTTGGCCTTACAGCCGAGCCCGCCTTCAAGATGCTGCGGTACTGCTGCCTCAGAGTGCTAAAGTAAACCGTGGGGCTTGAGATATCTCGAGACTGAAACAACAACAACATCAAAGTGGCAACCGACAACCTCTCTATTTTTGGATCCTGAGAGAGACTGTGACTTGCAAATCCTTCCTCACAGTGTACTTCAAAAGAGCAGAAATACAAAAGCAAAGCATTGCAAGCTGATCAATCTTGTTCCAACTTCCTCTCCAGGTCGACTACACATCATAGGCTGGAAGCACATGTGCTTGCCGCGTGAAGCTGGCCTGGAGAGGCGCATTTGGTGCTCACATTTGGTGCTCCACCTGGTGACATCTGAATACATGTGAGATGTTTCCGATGTGCTAAGTGCCAAGGTAATCCACCAAATGGGTGCAGAGGACATTCCAAGGCTGTTCAACGGTATCTACACCCTTTACGCCTCCAGCTCTTGCAGCCTCAGAAGAAGCCCATCCAACTGCTCGTGAACCTTGACGACACGGAACAGTGTGCTATGTGCTTCCCTGAGGTCGAGCAAAAGAGCATGAACAGGCATGAACTATGAAATATTAGCAAAACACTAGAAACCAGTCAGGATGAAGCAAACGGAGTGAGGGGTGGCTGCTTGTCAAAGGTGCTTTCTGTTCCTGATTCCACATCACACATTCAAATGCATCATGCGCACTGCTTCGTCAACGTCTTGCTGGCCTCGCCGTTCACAGAGGCCAATGCGTCTCGGATATTTGCCTCTTCTGCCTGCGAATCCAACTGCAACAAGTTGGCCAAAACAATTAAATGTTCACGTCACCACTCCTCGTCTCTCCTGGTCTCTTTCAACTTTTGGACTTTCTGCCTTGAAGGTCTTGAAAAAATCCTTCAAGAACTCCTCCTTGCTCACCTCACAAACAATACAAATCCATAAAACTTCCAAAGGCACAACCACAGTGCTTCTATGGCAAAACAAATGCAATTTCTTATATTTATTTATCGTGCAAAGCAAACATCCCATTATGTTCGGATGCGCTCGGAATGTCTCAGCTCTCTGCGCCATCTGTGTCCATGAGCTCAAACAGCTCATAACAGAGTCAAACATATTCAATCTATGTATTGTTTCGCTTTCCATGTTCTCAAGTGGATAGAGAACATCGTTCGTTGCATTGCTCAGTTAATTTTCATCTTTGAACTAGGTCCAATGGCGGCATGTTCTTCCGTTTGTTTGCAAAAAGGACATGCAAATTTAGCAAGCTTTGTTCGGGCCATATTGGATAGGCTATATAGAATTATATATATGTTCTTTGCAACTGCTGAATCAATTGCGTAGTCAAATATCTTATCGACCAGTATCAAATCATTTGTGAGACATGATGAGAGTTGGCTGTGATTCCTTGAACCGTCAAGAGCAACCACCTTGACCTCACATCAATCGGTTCGACAAGTTTGGGGCATTGGCAAGGCTATCTTCCACTGCCTGTCTTCTTGCCATAAGCTCTTTGATCTCCAAGTCTTCTTCAGGCACTGAAAGCCTAAAGAAAGAAACACACAAGAAAAGCCAAGTGGCCAAGAAACCAAAGGCCAGACACGACCAAATCCCCAAAGGTTGCCAGTTCATCCTTTGCCTGCACCCAAGTGGAAGGACAAGGCAGAACCACGGAACACGTCCAATCGAAACGCCTCTGTTTGTAAATATTGTAAGTCTCATGGAGACCTCGCCAGCATTGCTATGTTGAAGGGTTGATCGGTTTTACAGAGAGTAAGTAACCCCCGAAAAAAATGATATACATTGAGAACCGATGCCTCGCTGTCTCGGCAAAAACGGTTTACATTGTACAGTTCTTTACAAAACCCATTCCAGTGGGAACTAGATCCTACAAGTTGCCGTTTAGAGTGAGCTGGGCCAGTGTCCAAAAACATGCGAAGGAGAGAATCTTAATTGCACGATTTACATCTGGAAACTTCAATTTCATCCTCTTAAAAATATGAACCCCCGGCCTGTGTTCTTGCCTACCTTTTGGCAGTGATCTAGTCAACAAAAAGAGCGAACACAAGAACATCGCTAACATGTGTCAGCAACCGAACATGAACATCACAAAAAATAGTCACAACCTTGGAACATCGATACATGGATATTTTAGTATATGAGCGACCGGCAAAACTAGGGGTCACTTGGTGGGTAGTTTTAAGGCAGGTACCGTTTTGGGGCTGTTATCGTATTTTTCAATCCTTTTGCAATTTTTTTGGGGAGGTATCGTCTACGTGTAAAGTGCTGTGGACAGTGACTTTGCAAATCAAAAGTGGTAGAAGTAGTAGTCGTCGTCGTAGTCGTCGTCCAGTGCAGTACTAGTAGTAGTAGCAGTAGTGGTGGTGGTAGTAGTAGTAGTAGTCGTAGTCGTAGTCGTAGTAGTAGTAGTAGTGGTAGTAGTGGTAGTAGTAGTAGTAACAGTAGTAACAGTAGTAACAGTAGTAACAAGTGCATCGCTAGTAGTAACAGGTGCCTTACTAGCAGTAACAAGTGCATCGCTAGTAGTAACAGGTGCCTTACCTGTAGTAACAAGTGCATCGCTAGTAGTAGTAGCAGTAGGTAGTAGTAGGTAGTAGTAGTAGTAGTAGTAGTAGTAGTAGTAGTAGTAGTAGTAGTAGTAGTAGTAGTAGTAGT